ATCCAATCTTGCGTGTTTTATAATTGTTTCTGCTTCCTACATCTATGATTTTGAGCCTGTGATGATTAGCATATTGTTGGAATTACCGTCGGATTATCAAATGACGACATTTGTCTGGCTTCCTGAGGCTTAATCCAATAATATTGTAGTTTATATAGATCTAAATTCTGTTCATGTATTATGAGTTGCAACCTTGTCCCGGTGAGGAATCTAAGACCATAGGAAGTGCCGTATGACACTTTAAACAGCAGCTGCTTTTCTCCTTTGCAAGTGTCCATCCTTCGACCATAACCTTTGTGGTTTGGTCTTGGATGGAGTACCCATTTGCAATTGGTTTAATTCGGCTGTGTGTGATTTTAAACGGGTCTCTGAGGGATTGTGCGTAGCTTTGTCTCATATAATCTAAAATTTGCATCTGATATTTTTGTGATTGTTTAGGCCTGATGCCACGTCACCTGTAGCTAGGGCTTTGACCGGTGATGCTTTGATTAGGCCAAAACCGAGTTGGTTTCCGACGTTTCACATGTTTATAGGAACCTGGGACTGCATCTCCATCGGTCTACAGAGCCGGTCTCTGTGATTACATTTGATTTATTTGAAGTAACAACTTTTTTGGTTTTTGTTTTTATTTTCTTACAAATCCTTAATAGTATGGCAATGATGATAAATTTAAGGCTTGTTTCTCATAACATTCGCAGTTGCCGCCTAAGAGCTCTCGCCCTGCCAGGCTTGAGAGCTAATGCTGTTAATTCATTCCTTGGATGTCTGAGCCATGTTCTTTATATATTCATATTTGTGTTCTTTTGCTCTGTGTAAGTTAGTGTTCTGCATTGCAAATGATGCTATAATCAAGGCTTGTTTCTCATGAAATTCGCAGTTGCCGCCTAAGAGCTTTCGCCCTGCCAGGCTTGAGAGCTAGTGCTGCTAATACCTTCCTTGGATGTCTGATGCACAGCAACACCAACTCTATCCTCTTTAAAAAATTTGTTTTGCCCATTTTTAATTCATTATCTTCAATTAATTTGATTGCCAGTTTAGTCATTCATGTTTACTGAAAAGTATGTCGGCTGTGATGGATGCCTTGTGATGCTAAAATCAAGGCTTGTTTCTCATGACATTCGCAGTTGCCGCCTAAGAGCTTTCGCCCTGCCAGGCTTGAGGGTTAGTGCTACTGCTGCAGCAAATCTCCTCCTCTTGCAGCAAATCTCCTCCTCTTTCCTCCCCCGTAGACGCTTTTCCTAGCACAGCCAGATCTGCTTATTCTTCTGCACTTTTTGCTACATCCTGTGATTTGTTGTTTCATTTTGATGTTTTTTTCACGGCTGTTTTGTTCTATTATGCATGCGATGCAATGGCAGTGAGGACTTGAATTTTTTCTACATCCTGCAATTTCTTTTGTTTCGTTTTGATCTTTTTTTTGTCACGCTGTTCTATTATGCAAGCGATGCGATGGCAGTGACGACTTGGTAATATTCAAGCTCAACAGACCAAATCACAGGTCTTCCTCTCTGGATCCACTCCTCTGGGATTGATTTGTATGCCGATTTTCCCGCTGAACCGAGCCATCATGTATTGCTCTTTTTATTATTTATGGTTTGATATTTTGTGTTAAAATTTGTATATTTTTTATTCCATTTCGGTTTAGATCTGTGTTCTTTGCATTGGAGGACGCTGTTGCGATGAGGATATTATGCTCCCTCTTCTGAAGGCATTGAGGACGCTCGCTGGCAGAATCGAACCAATTATTAAAGCCACCACTGAGTAACATGAAATCCTCTTCCAATTTGTTCTTATTATTTCTATGTTTTTTTTATTGTTTTCTTAGATCTGTTTGGATTGTGAGTAGGTAATTGATGCATAATCCAACACTTGATCAGAGGACGGCTTTTGTCGTCCATATGACGTTACACATCTCTGCATCTGAATCCAGTCACAGAACATATCCTTTATCGTTTATAGTTTATGTGGAATTTTTAAAGTATCTGAGGATGAAACCTTATAACAATCTTAGGACACCTTCTGACACAGTGCAATCACACTGTGAATGAGAAGGCTTTTCTTTCTGATGATGCTTTAAATATCCAATTTATATTCTTTCATCCAATCTTGCGTGTTTTATAATTGTTTCTGCTTCCTACATCTATGATTTTGAGCCTGTGATGATTAGCATATTGTTGGAATTACCGTCGGATTATCAAATGACGACATTTGTCTGGCTTCCTGAGGCTTAATCCAATAATATTGTAGTTTATATAGATCTAAATTCTGTTCATGTATTATGAGTTGCAACCTTGTCCCGGTGAGGAATCTAAGACCATAGGAAGTGCCGTATGACACTTTAAACAGCAGCTGCTTTTCTCCTTTGCAAGTGTCCATCCTTCGACCATAACCTTTGTGGTTTGGTCTTGGATGGAGTACCCATTTGCAATTGGTTTAATTCGGGTGTGTGTGATTTTAAACGGGTCTCTGAGGGATTGTGCGTAGCTTTGTCTCATATAATCTAAAATTTGCATCTGCTATTTTTGTGATTGTTTAGGCCTGATGCCACGTCACCTGTAGCTATGGCTTTGACCGGTGATGCTTTGATTAGGCCAAAACCGAGTTGGTTTCGGACGTTTCACATGTTTATAGGAACCTGGGACTGCATCTCCATCGGTCTACAGAGCCGGTTTCTGTGATTACATTTGATTTATTTGAAGTAACAACTTTTTTGGTTTTTGTTTTTATTTTCTTACAAATCCTTAATAGTATGGCAATGATGATAAATTTAAGGCTTGTTTCTCATAACATTCGCAGTTGCCGCCTAAGAGCTCTCGCCCTGCCAGGCTTGAGAGCTAATGCTGTTAATTCCTTCCTTGGATGTCTGAGCCATGTTATTTATATATTCATATTTGTGTTCTTTTGCTCTGTGTAAGTTAGTGTTCTGCATTGCAAATGATGCTATAATCAAGGCTTGTTTCTCATGAAATTCGCAGTTGCCGCCTAAGAGCTTTCGCCCTGCCAGGCTTGAGAGCTAGTGCTGCTAATTCCTTCCTTGGATGTCTGATGCACAGCAACACCAACTCTATCCTCTTTAAATAATTTGTTTTGCCCATTTTTAATTCATTATCTTCAATTAATTTGATTGCCAGTTTAGTCGTTCATGTTTACTGAAAAGTATGTCGGCTGTGATGGATGCCTTGTGATGCTAAAATCAAGGCTTGTTTCTCATGACATTCGCAGTTGCCGCCTAAGAGCTTTCGCCCTGCCAGGCTTGAGGGTTAGTGCTACTGCTGCAGCAAATCTCCTCCTCTTGCAGCAAATCTCCTCCTCTTTCCTCCCCCGTAGACGCTTTTCCTAGCACAGCCAAATCTGCTTATTCTTCTGCACTTTTTGCTACATCCTGTGATTTGTTGTTTCATTTTGATGTTTTTTTCACGGCTGTTTTGTTCTATAATGCATGCGATGCAATGGCAGTGAGGACTTGAATTTTTTCTACATCCTGCAATTTCTTTTGTTTCGTTTTGATCTTTTTTTTGTCACGCTGTTCTATTATGCAAGCGATGTGATGGCAGTGACGACTTGGTAATATTCAAGCTCAACAGACCAAATCACAGGTCTTCCTCTCTGGATCTACTCCTCTGGGATTGATTTGTATGCCGATTTTCCCGCTGAACCGAGCCATCTTGTATTGCTCTTTTTATTATTTATGGTTTGATATTTTGTGTTAAAATTTGTATATTTTTTGTTCCATTTCGGTTTAGATCTGTGTTCTTTGCATTGGAGGAGGCTGTTGCGATGAGGATATTATGCTCCCTCTTCTGAAGGCATTGAGGACGCTCGCTGGCAGAATCGAACCAATTATTAAAGCCACCACTGAGTAACATGAAATCCACCTCCAATTTGTTCTTATTATTTCTATGTTTTTTTTATTGTTTTCTTAGATCTGTTTGGATTGTGAGTAGGTAATTGATGCATAATCCTACACTTGATCAGAGGACGGCTTTTGTCGTCCATATGACGTTACACATCTCTGCATCTGAATCCAGTCACAACATATCCTTTATTGTTTATAGTTTATGTGGAATTTTTACAGTATCAGAGGATGAAACCTTATAACAATCTTAGGACACCTTCTGACACAGTGCAATCACACTGTGAATGAGAAGGCTTTTCTTTCTGATGATGCTTTAAATATCCAATTTATATTCTTTCATCCAATCTTGCGTGTTTTATAATTGTTTCTGCTTCCTACATCTATGATTTTGAGCCTGTGATGATTAGCATATTGTTGGAATTACCGTCGGATTATCAAATGACGACATTTGTCTGTCTTCCTGAGGCTTAATCCAATAATATTGTAGTTTATATAGATCTAAATTCTGTTCATGTATTATGAGTTGCAACCTTGTCCCGGTGAGGAATCTAAGACCATAGGAAGTGCCGTATGACACTTTAAACAGCAGCTGCTTTTCTCCTTTGCAAGTGTCCATCCTTCGACCATAACCTTTGTGGTTTGGTCTTGGATGGAGTACCCATTTGCAATTGGTTTAATTCGGGTGTGTGTGTGATTTTAAACGGGTCTCTGAGGGATTGTGCGTAGCTTTGTCTCATATAATCTAAAATTTGCATCTGCTATTTTTGTGATTGTTTAGGCCTGATGCCACGTCACCTGTAGCTATGGCTTTGACCGGTGATGCTTTGATTAGGCCAAAACCGAGTTGGTTTCGGACGTTTCACATGTTTATAGGAACCTGGGACTGCATCTCCATCGGTCTACAGAGCCGGTTTCTGTGATTACATTTGATTTATTTGAAGTAACAACTTTTTTGGTTTTTGTTTTTATTTTCTTACAAATCCTTAATAGTATGGCAATGATGATAAATTTAAGGCTTGTTTCTCATAACATTCGCAGTTGCCGCCTAAGAGCTCTCGCCCTGCCAGGCTTGAGAGCTAATGCTGTTGATTCCTTCCTTTGAGCCATTTTCTTTATATATTACTATTTGTGTTCTTTTGCTCTGTGTAAGTGTTCTGCATTGCAAATGATGCTATAATCAAGGTTTTTTCTCATGACATTCTCAGTTGCCGCCTAAGAGCTTTCGCCCTGCCAGGCTTGAAAGGTAGTGCCACTGCTGCAGCAAATCTCCTCTTTCCTCCCCTGTAGACGCTTTTCCTAGCACAGCCAGATCTGCTTATTCTTCTGCACTTTTTGCTACATCCTGCGAGTTCTTTTGTTTCATTTTGATCTTTTTTTTCACGGCTGTTTTGTTCTATTATGCAAGCGATGCAATGGCAGTGAGGACTTGAATTTTTGCTACATCCTGCAATTTCTATTGTGATCTTTTTTTTTTCACTCTGTTCTATTATGCAAGCGATGCGATGGCATATTCAAGCTCAACAGACCAAATCACAGGTCTCTCTGGATCTACTCCTCTGGGATTGATTTGTATGCCGATTTTCCCGCTGAACCGAGCCATCTTGTATTGCTCTTTTTTTTATTATTTATGGTTCTCTAGATAAACACGAAGATCTCCACCAGGGCCTGCATTGCAATTCACAGCGTGAATAAGATGTATTACTCCGGAAGATAAGGCATCTACAGATACGAAATGATCACATACCCAATGAATTATCGTTGCTGTTAAGATAACTGTAGGGTTGAGGGAAAATGGCAGTATATGGCTGCAGAACACAGACATGAAAAAAAAAATCAATAAGGCAAATATATTGTTCAAATGAAGTGGTATGTGAAAGAGAATAAAGCTAATACCGGATTACGCAGTGCCTTGTAAGGAGAATCATCCACAAGTAACGTATTAGAAGGCGAATAGTACCCCTGCTCCCACGGTAGATCAGGTTCTTCCTTGTTCCACAGTTTCCTCAATTCCTTCAGTACCAATGGTTTGTGAATGTTCTCCAATGTTTTGTGTCCAGTAAATGTGCATTTAGACATGTCCTGCCCATTATGTTAGATATGATCATGAAGGTTCCAGGCTAAAAATAACTTGCAGTAGACTAGTAGAGACACAGACACCAAAATGTTAGATATGACCTACCCAACAAAATTTTAGCAAAGGTCTGAAATCTCTCATGATGATATCAATGACTGAATCAACATTCTGCCTGGAGAAATGAGAGTTACACAGTAAGTACAGTTGAAGCAATGATGGAAAAGTAATAAAAGATAGATATGGACAAGAGATCATACTTTTTTCTTGAGGACCATATGCCTAGCTCAAAATTTTGTAAGCAAAAACTAAGAAAATCGTGGCAGTAAGGTCTTCGGAAGACTGGTAGGGAGGTATATTTTGAGCATTAACATCTTGTGTAACAACTCTAGAACAATATTTTGCAAATAATAATAATGGATGATGGTACAAGTAAATTCACCTAGTTTGCCTCGAACCTTTGCATCAGCCATATGGGAATTGTGGTAATCTTGGTTGATGTCCGCAAGCAAACCATTAAGATCTAGAATAAGAAGTTTTTTCTTCCGAAACCCTGTCAAGGATACTCTTGGTAACAAGGTGATTGGAGGCTTTTGCTGATATGTCAGAGGTAAACTTGAAGGCCTTATGAAGTTAGCACTATTGTGTGTTGATAAGTAAGCTTCTTCTGTCATGCGCAGTTCATTTCTCTCTACATTGGTATAATCCATATGTCTTCCATAATCATATTCCCATTTCCCCATGGTACTTAATCCATAAATGTTTAGACCACGATGAACATCTGATACACCGTAAGGAGGGATATTTCCTGTATGGAAGAAGTTAAAACCTTGATTGAATGGATCGAATGCATTCATTGGGTGTACAGGAGGAAAACCCATAAACTTGTTGCCTATGTAACCCCTAACATGTGATGGATGCAGAAAATGGCTGTGCAGGGTATAAGGTTCTCTCATAAAAGGTCCTATCCTCTGGTTCTCCTGTACACTGTAAGGGTTGTAACTAGCATTTGACATGCCGGTAAAACCATCACCGACTGTGCTTTGACAAACTCTCTCTTCAGTTGTGGAGTGTAGGCCGTCGATCCTGACATTTGCATCAAACCTAGAATCTTGAAGTGGCATGGAAGATGTATCATGATCTGTAGTTTTCCTGGTGTCGAGCATGCAATGTTCTGAATTCCCTGCTGAGTTAGCATTCTTCACTTCTGGACGCTTTGGATTGCTATTCTCATTTGAATGCACCAACTGACTGGACGAACTTTGCACTGATTCTGCGCACAAATTTGCTTCCAAATCACAACCTGCTTTCTGGGGCAAATCTCCTTGAGTTGAAAAGGCACGTTCCTTGTAATTTTCAGACTTGCTAGTAGAGATGTCAGGTAAGCATCCTTGAGCATCAGCATGCTCCTCTCCATTATTTTCTGCAAAGAAAAAAGGTAATCTAATCAGGTAGTAGCCTTGAACCTCTTAATACTAAAACTTAGAAATTTCCAAACAGAGTTTCTTAAACTCAAACAGATATCAGAAAAAGCAAAGCATGTCTTCTTCTCACACAACAGAGGGTTTCGCTTTCACGGATGCTAGGCTACCTCTCTAGATTTGATCGAACCGCAGAACAAATGTCTATTATTAGCGGGAGAGAGAGAGAGAGAGAGAGATGAAACCCGAGCAACAACGACAGCGCGTCGCAACTCGCAACGCGGTTGGTAGTTACCTGAGGCAGGGGATCCTCCCTGCTTCTTCCCCGCGGCGGCGCGCTTCCGCCGCTGCCTGCGCTGCTGGTTCCGCCGCTTCGACGACGACGACGAGGCGGCGCCGCCGCCGCCCTGGAGCATCACCATCGGGAGCATCGGCGGGGTTCTCTCTAGATCTAAGCCCCCGGGGAGAAGAAATCGAGGGGGAAGAGAGACGAGGAGGAGCTTAGCGAATCGCGAGTCGTTAACGTCAGGGCAGAAGAGGAGGAAGAAATGTGAGAAAATGCTTTTTTTGCATCGTGTGCTCCCCGAAATCCGAGTGGCGGGCGGGAGGCGGAAGGAAGAGGGGCGGAACAGGTGCGCGTACTGTGTGTGGGTCGTGTGTCGCCGGTTCTTTTTGGACTTTTTCTGGGTTCGATTCGACCGAGGTTTGAGGTTTCGGCTCGAGCCTGTCTATTCGAGTCAGACTAAAGAACGGCAGACCCAGTGGTTTTTTTTATTATTTTCAACCCTTTTGTTATTTTAATTACGCAGTAGATGTACGCGTACACGTGCACACACCATTACACACGCAACACCACACTCACACCCCCATGAATACGTCCCCTAACGCAGTAGATATAGCTGACATGTGGGCCCAAGGGTATTTTTGACATTTCACGCGATTTCTCTTTCCTCCCCAATCGGAAAGTATTATTTTAATCGGCACGGTGTCCACTAGCAAATTACCACGTTTATAGAATGTTTTCCCCCAAAAGTGAGTTTGGGCAGTGTCCTAGGGCTAAAACCACATATAACAAGTGTCCTGTAGCAAAATTTCTCATATTTATCTTTGCATAACCAAGATTATACGCCACCCAATCCCTTAGAGATTTGTTCCCGATTCCCGACCTATAACCATAGAGTGGATTGAAGCAATGCTTCCAAGCTAGTAAGGCCGTGTTTAGTTCCAAAATAATTTTTCAAACTTCTAACTTTTCCATCACATCAAAACTTTTTTACACAAACAAATTTCCAATATTTCCGTCACATCGTTTCAATTTTAACCAAACTTTCAATTTTAGTCTGAACTAAACATAGCCTGAAAAACCGTAGTGAAATGCGCAATCCATTTTTCGCTGGGACGGCGGAAGGACGCCGTCTGAATTTCATTATCATTAGATAAAATGTACTGTTCATGATGTCAGGTAGGAAACTTATTAGTACTGGTTTCAGGATGTACGAATTATGCAATTCGGACGAAACTCTGAGAGAAAGCAGCAAAACTGATTACTACTTGACTAACGCATGCTCTCACTAAAGTCCCCTCACACCCCCGTGAATACGTCCCCTAACACATGCTCGAAGAGACTGAAATTAGCGGCACGTTCATGATCTCACAGTTCGCACTAAAGTCTTGTTGAAAGTCCACTTACTTATGCAGAATATTCGTGGGCACTAGGATTTAAACCCTGGTCTACCACCACACCACTGAGGGTTTTACTTTTGGCTAATCCGTACATTAGTCATCACCAACAAAATGGGTATCCATTTTCGATTCCTTTATATTGGGTCCAGTGAGGGGATCGGGGGTGAGTCCTTTGAAAAAAAACCACGCGTCCGACCATCGCTCTGGAAAGGAATTAAATGTGAGTTATGCGCTTTAATCACGCTGGCCAACGGGTGGAAACGGCCGTGTGATTCTCTCTCATTTCCTTAGCCGAGAGATTATTTCCCAACAAACAATTAACCTTTTCCAAATCTATTCTCAACCCTTTTGTTTTTTTAATTATGCAGTAGATGTACACGTGCACACACCACTATACACATAATACTACACTTACATCTCCGCAAATATGTCTCCTAACACATATTCCAAGAGATGAAAATCATAGTGGCATATCTCTGATCTTACTAAAGTCCTCTTGAAAGCTTACTTACATATATATAATATTCGTGCGCACTAGGATTTAAACCCTGGTCTACCACCACGCCACTGAGGGTTTTAGTTTTGGCTAATCTGTACATTAGTCATCACCTACAAAACAGATAGCGATTCTTTTATATTGTGTCCAGTGAGAGGATCGGGGACGAGTCCTTCGGAGAAAAACTGTGTATCTGACCATCGTGCTTGAAAGAAATTAATTGTGAGTTATGCGCGTTAATCACGCGGGCCAACAGGTGGAAACAACCGTGTGATTCTCTCTCAATTCTTTAGCCAAGAGATTATTCCGAACAAACAATTCACCTTTTCCAAATCCATTTTACAGGCAATGCAAACACCTCTCGAGAAACTAGGATCTTCATTTCTTCCGCATCTGCACCATGCCATATAAATTTCCATAAAGGTAGCAGCATGACTCTCGTATGCATAGCTCCCCTTGAGGTTGAAATGGAACTATTTATGCTTAGGAGTGATGCTTTTATCGAATATGAGCCTATTTTCACTCAATCGTCTAGTTTTTACTTTTCCTGTATACAGAAGAGATCTACTCTCATACCGTGCAAAAAAAGCCTACTATTTGGTTGGTTTAATAGAAAAAAAAATCCTTTGTTTATGAGATATGATATATTCTATGCAAGTGATAGCAACAAGGTTGATTCGTCTAAACGTACCTTATGCCCTGGCTAGTTTACTGAAACTAAACAACCAAAACCATTAAAAGGTGCTTTTGTTGCCATACTTGCTTCGCCAAATTCTACATAGGAAAATTGATCAATATTTATCGGGAAATTTTGCTACAGGACACTTATTATATGTGGTTTTAGCTCTACGACACTGCCCAAACTCACTTTTGGGGGAAAACACTCCATAAACGTGGTAATTTGCCAGTGGACACCGCGCCGATTAAAATAATACTTTCCGGTTGGGGAGGAGAGAGAAATCGCGTGAAATGTCAAAAATGCCCTTGGGCCCACATGTCAGCTCTATCTCCTATCTCTCTCTCAAAGCGCGCTCGCACGGGTGGCGTCGGTCGTGGTGGAGATGGCGAGGACGGCGGCCGGCGGAGTGAAGCGGGATGGCGGCAGCGGTGCACGAGCGCGCGGCCGCCGGAGCCACCCCTCGCAGCCGGCGCCATGCCCGTGCCCGCTCCGCCAGGCGTGGGGCAGCCCCGACGCACTTGTCGGCCGCCTCCGCACCGCCTTGACCCGTTCTCGTCGGCGTCAACGTCGGCATCCACGCCGGCCTCATTGCCGAAGTCACGTCGCCATGGTTCATCCTGCGCTGTGCGTGGTGACCGCGCCCGCGAAGTCGGTGCCACAGCCTTCGCCTGACTCCTAGAGACCGACGACGGCGACGGCGAGGATCCTCTAGGCACTTCACTCAGCCGACGCTGCCACTCCGGTGGCTGCGCGCTCATCCACCGCCGCCGCCGCGCTCCACTCCGCCGGCCGTCGTCCTCGCCATCTCTGCCACGACCGACGCCACCCCGTGCAAGCGCGCTCTGAGAGAGAAGAGAGAGATGAGGAGAGAGATAGGAGATATAGCTGACATGTGGGCCCAAGGGCATTTTTGACATTTCACGCGATTTCTCTCTCCTCCCCAATCGGAAAGTATTATTTTAATCGGCACGGTGTCCACTAGCAAATTACCACGTTTATAGAATATTTTCTCCCAAAAGTGAGTTTGGGCAGTGTCCTAGGGCTAAAACCACATATAACAAGTGTCCTGTAGCAAAATTTCTCATATTTATCTTTGCATAACCAAGATTATACGCCACCCAATCCCTTAGAGATTTGTTCCCGATTCCCGACCTATAACCATAGAGTGGATTGAAGCAATGCTTCCAAGCTAGTAAGGCAGTGTTTAGTTCCAAAATAATTTTTCAAACTTCTAACTTTTCCATCACATCAAAACTTTTTTACACACATAAATTTCTAACATTTCCGTCACATCGTTCCAATTTCAACCAAACTTCTAATTTTAGTGTGAACTAAACACAGCCTGAAAAACCATAGTGAAATGCGCAATCCATTTTTCGCTGGGACGGCGGAAGGACGCCGTCTGAATTTCATTATCATTAGATAAAATGCACTGTTCATGATGTCAGGTAGGAAACTTATTAGTACTGGTTTCAGGATGTACGAATTATGCAATTCGGACGAAACTCTGAGAGAAAGCAGCAAAACTGATTACTACTTGACTAACGCCCACAGTCAAATCAGCTGTTGATCAGTTCTCATTCAACTTCCTATTGCCTTGGCCATGAACAACAGGAACAAGGTGCTGGCTCTGAAGGCACAAATTTTTTTGCAGGAATTGTAAACAAGTATTGTGCCATCAACAAGCACGAACATATGGTATGGTACCAATAAACAAGTATCAAAAAGACATTCAGGCAGTAGCAAAACAAACCCAGCTTGTGAACATGACACTATGGCACTTATAACCTGATCTCTCAGATCAGCAGCCTGGCAAAAAAAAAAAAGTCTAGCTAGCTTCCGCACCACAAGACTCGTGTTCTGCAAACTATCATGATGTCATCCACTCCCTCCATTGCCGGCAAACAACAAAACAATGCACAACTTAGATGGATAACAGTAAACACTACACAACCTAGATGGATGGTAGGAAACAGTACACAACTTCGATGAATTTACTAGTACTAGATGGACTAAGAGCAGATACAATAGTGCTATTAGGAAGGCTCCAAAACTTGTTAATCAGCCTAAAACGAGATTAAGGAAAGAAAATCACAGATCTAGAAAGAAGCCAGCGTTTGTTCTGGCACCGGCGCTTGCACAGCGTCCCACGCTATATCTTCCGGGAGATACAATAAAAAAAATTCGCTGTATCGGCCAGGAGATACAATAAAAAAAAAATTCGTTTGTAGGTCCTACTGTTTGTTAATTTGTTTGAACTAAGGCAGCTTATAGCTAACTTGTAGTTAGCTTATTGTATGAGTTACTCTTTAAGTTAGCTCTACCTGAGACATGAAAAAATTTTGAAGCCTACTGCTAGGTTGCACTATTGATCTTGCTCTAAGTACTAGTAACGATAGACAAATGAAGTGTTAAAAGGATATTCAGCCATTCAGGCAGTAGCAAAACAAACCCAGCTTGTGAGCACGAAGTGATGGGAAAGTGAATTCATTCCTTGAGGGGATATCTCCTTGTTTCGCGCATGCCACCTAAATAGTCATTAAAAAATATGAAAAAAAATAGTAACATAGATTAATATAAAATATATCACTGCACAAACATGCAAGTTTAAATTTAACTTCTACATATTATAACAAAAATAACAAATATAGTTGTAAATGTGTGATAACTTTTTTCAGTTTAATTTGTTATTTTTGTTGTAACTTGTAGAAGTTGAATTTGGTCTTGCATGTTGATGGAGCGATATATTTAGTATTAATCTATATTGTTACTTTTTTAAAAAAAATTGATAACTATTTATATAACATGCAAATAGGGATGAAAATCCACATCCCGAAGTGATGGTAAGTTGGCAACCTGACCTCTCTAACTCGCACCTCAAGACTGACTTGCTCTGAATTGATCTCACAAGTCTTCATCTGATCTCTGTTTTTGAATGATATCCTCCACTCCCTCCATTGCTGGACAGCAAAAGTACACAATCTTGATGGCCTCAGTTTAAAATTGTTGGGCAATACTGA